ACACTACCACTCTTCATTTGCTGTAGAACTAAAGCAATTAAATAGAAGATCAATTGAGAGAGGAAAAAAATTTAGTTTAAAATTTAGGGTCATCACACGTCTTTTGTGCCTTCTTGTCTAATCGTGCTTTTACTGTGATTATCACCGTCGTATCCTCTTCTCTATACATATTGTAACCAAAACTCATTCCTCCTCCATTGTAGTAGCAGTGTCGATTATCTTCCCTCCTTCTCTCTACCACCATTGCCCATATAGTATGGAGCTCTTACTTCCTCTTCCTACTTCTAACTTCACCAATCTGAGTTAAGGAGCTTTAGGTCCTTTCCTCTTTTTCTTTTCATGCATCTGTAGGAGTACATTTTAATGATTGAGATTGTGTTTCTATTGATTCTAAGTTGAAATTTCAATATTAAATGCTCGATAAAGATGGATAGATTCGGTTTTCTTTGAGTTTGAAGTTGATATTTTTTCCCCTGTTGAAGGACTAAAATTTGGAGAGCTAGATGATCACAAATATTGATATTGGAATTTTCAGAATTGAAATTTGAAGGAAAAGGAAGTTTGGTAGTAGTTAAAGGATTTATGCCAGCAAGATGTTCAATTGATGATCGCCTTATGTTTCAGCCTCATATGAGAATGGAAAACTGGAGCATTTTCTGCATCGGCAAATGAAGAATCACAAAAATAATAATGTCTAGTTGACCATGTTTCCAAAAAAAAGATACTTTCGAGAAACAATGAGCACAACTAAAGTGGCTATACATACAAATTCACTTACAGATATATATGCTTCGATTGGAACTGGAAGTTCCAGGACAGGTGGTTGGTCTACCACTATAATGAAACTGCCTTTCGTTTTTGCTTTTTTTATTTATTTATGTATTTTATGAAATTCCCCCAATTCTTATGAGGATGCTTTTGATATGGGTGCTATTTATTCATGAATTTAAGTTTTGCCAAGAATTTTGATTATGTAGCTATTTATCTATTATATGGTTAACTGAATTTTGGGAGTTTTATAGTTGATGGTTTATAAACCAGGGTGTTGTTTTATACTCCTTCTAACCTTCCATGCATTTTGAAAAAAAAAATAATTTTTTCTTAATATTATAAAAAATTGATAAGAATTTATATTTTTATCTTTAACTTTAAATCATTAAACAACTATATTAAATACCTTCATGCTAAACAAAAAAGGATAAAAGTAAAAAAAATTTAATTATTACAGTGTATTCTATATTTTGGATCAAAAATTACTTTGGGAGAATTCAGTTGAAGTGCCATGTAAGAGAATTAATTATTATAAGGTTTATTAACAATTTAACTAAGAAAAATAACAACGCATTGTGTTGTCAATGGCCTTAGTTCAATTGTTAATGAATCTTCTAATAATTAATTTTCTTGTGTGAGTCCTATATATAATTCTCCCAATTACTTTTAGAAGATATTTTACAAATAGGATCGGAGGGAGTAATTTGTTTTGAGATGCACTTAAGGTGTTTGATAAAATGGGTTATAGAAATATTTTTTTTTAATCAATAGAGTAATAAAGTTTTGTGTGCACGCATGTATATGTCTTGATTAAAATTTAGCTATTTGGTTGGGAATAAGGCAATCAAGTATATTCTGTGTTGAGGACTGAAATTTGAATTTATTTGGTTCAATCTCTACGTTCAAGTTGAAATCAAAGCAGGTACAAATATTGCTTGAATGTGTGTGTGTGTGTGTCAATTGAGTTGTTGAAATTATAAAATTTAACTTAATATAAGTTTTTCTTTTTAATTTGTTATAGACTTGAATCTGGGATGTGTCAATTGAGTTGTTGAATGTCAACCACATATAATTTAAGAAGTTTGGGTTGATAAATGTCAGTTGGAAATATATGAAATAGAACTATTATTAAAGAAAGTTGTTTGTTCTTTTTTACTTAATGGAGATATGATTTTGATTTTACTTTACTCTTATTTAATGGTTTATGATTTTGATTCCAAGGTTAAGCGAGCATATTTCTTTGAATTGTTTCCTCTGTAGATTTTACTTTACTTTGTGGTTTATTTATTTTGATTTTGTAAATTTTATAATTGGGATGTTATTGAATAAAAAATTATTTTGGTGTCAAATTTATTACCTGACGCTTAACCTCCTAGTGATCATTGAGGGGTTTATTTGTGACTAGAAAGTGGAGGAGCTGTAGGCTAATATACCTTTTGATGCATTTTGTAAATTAAATTCTAAGTTCTTCACATAGGCTATAGTTAGGATCTTTATTTTTGTTATATACTCTATTTAGTGGTTGCAAGGAGCTGAGCTATTGATTGATATGATATTTTGTGTGAAAATTTTGTACCATAGAATTTTTAGGAAGATCTATTTACAATGGAGGTTTTGCTGAAATTTTTACAAAAAATATGAAAACTTTTGTTATAATATATATATTATTAAAGATATCATAATTTTAATATAAATTTAGTTATGTTTTAGAAATGAAAAGGTTTCTCGATTGAAGTTTTAGAAGATGTGTGATATAGTTCACACCCCATACCAGTTTCCTTTTATTTTTGGGGCATGACAATTTGATTCCTCAAGAATAAAGATAAGACTATTTTAGTTAACTCTTACTTAGTGGTTTATGATTTTTTTAATTCCAAGATTAAGTGGGCATATTATATTGTATTATTCTCTTTCCACTTATTTACATATATAATTGCTTAAGTTTATTCATTATTCTTTTAAATTTTATCATTATTGGAAAGTTATTAACTGAAAATTATTATTTTGGTCTCAGATGCATTAGTTGATGTTATACCTCTTGTTGACCATTGATGGGCAATAGTATTCACTTGTAGTGAAGAATTGTAAATTAAGCTTCTTTTAATGTGAATTAAATCCTTGTATTATATTTTATAAATCTTATGTCAGGCGCTTTACATAACTTGTAGTTAGGATCCTTGTTTTGTCTATTTACTGATAAGAGCAAAACTCCTTGTTGCTATTGTTGTTTTGTGAAACTGCATGTTGCATAAATTTTTTTTTTTTGGAGGTTCTATTTTAGGGAAGGTTATGCTAAAATTAAAAAAAATGTAGGTTTTATTTGTGTGGAACGTATTGAAAAATATCCTGATTCTATTGCAAAAATATTCATGATTTAAAAATAATTAGAAATTTCTTGAGTTAAAACTTAAGAGATGTGAGTTCTAGTACATATCATGTGCCGGTCACTCCTATATATTTTAGGCGTGACAGATTGATTCTGTGTGGGTACGACTTGGTCACATCATTATATTACATTTTTTTAGCATATACACTTGCAATGTTACAATATTTTATTTTATTTTATTAGCTGCAGGAAACTAAGCGAAACAAGTGTTTCCATCAGATTAGTAAGTTACAAACTTACGAGGAAAAAAAGAGAGTGGGTAAGGAGTAAAGGATGCTGGTGCATGTTGGAGTCTTGGAGAAGATACTGGATATGAAAGTAAGGTGTGTTGAAACTTAAAAGTGAGAAGGAGAATCACATTCAAATCTTTTAACCATCCAATTTTTTTTTATGAACTTTAAAATTCTAATTATTATTCCTAATGCTTAAACGACACAATTTTCGGAGAATAAATAAAAATATTTTTGAGCAAGACAAGTTACAGCTTATTTCTTTTTTATATTATTTTTATTAGTTGTTATTGTTATATTCAAGGTTCAACTTCTTATACTACAAGTATTTCTGTACAGTTATGATAAAATTGTTTTTTTGAAATCACTAAATAATTTAAATTTTCATATCCATAATTATAAAATTTTTAAAGTTAAGATTCATTAGCATAAGTTTAAAATATAAAATGTACGATTAACTGGTTCCATAATTTCATAATTTTTTTTATGTTTGAGACTAAATTAATATGAACAATAAATGATCAGTGTCTGTTGTGTCTGGGTTGTTTTCTTTAGTTGCTATCAGGGACGAATCCAGGATCACATACATGGGGGGCAAGAATTGGACAATAAGATGGGGGCTAAAAATCCTTGATTTTTTTTTTTTTTGCATGTAAAATGCATACAATTTGTAATAAATTATGAAGGTCTGGGGGACATGCAGAGGTTTGTCAGTGGTTGCTATCTTGTTGTTTTCTTGCTTTGTTCCTTTTTCTCAATATCAAAGTAAAATTCTCGACTAATTAACTTACTTTTAGGGCTGAAGGGAATGGAAATTAATTAAGGAACAAGTAAGAAAATGATTCTGTTTAGATAAACCAATTGAGAAATTCTCATAAATATGTATTTTATTGTAAGAATAAAATCAATTAAAATAATGTATTAAAATCAATTCTCATAAGATTATATTTAAATGACTTGAGTTATTCTAATTAGATGGATCACAAATGACATGATGCACCTATTTATCTCCTGTTTATCTAAAGATTTCTCCAATTTCTCCTAAGGAAAGTACGTCACGAAAGCAAAAGGAGAATAAAGTAATTGGGCTGATTATAAAAATAAAAGCATGCATTATAAAGATGCGTTCCATACACAAACTCGCTGTCTGTTCGTTTTAACCCCACCTAAGGTTTACATGGACGTGCCACTACCGTAGAGGCAAGGAGCTCGTTGGCTTAACCCCGCATCATTCAATCAAATAAGAAGATGATCTACTTTAATTATCATATATTCTTCATATTAATTTATTCCTAAGAATAAGGTATAACCTGAAATTATGCAACGAATCTTAACTTAACAATTTTTTTTTAAATTAATTTAGTCCAATAGTCCTGCGTCTTTTTCTCCGATCTCATTTTTCATTTCTTGTTGCTCCTCATCTTTAAAACTCTCATGTTCTTGAGTTGTTTTCATCTCTTTGAAGTTCATTTCTTCTCTTGTTACTATTCTTATCAATAGCACATCTTGTTTCTCACTATTTTCTGCAACAAGAAAGTCGAAGCAGGTGGAAATTCCCATGGAAACTAATAATTCAATGGAAGGAACCATGCTACAGAAGACTGCAAGAACTGCTGAAGAAGCAGTTCGTTTCTTCAGTCAATCATGTTCAAATTGGCGTTATTCATAATGACACCATGAGTTATCAACTGTACAACGCTGTTCATGACGAGAATGAAGATGTAAGTAGATTTCTAGACGTCTTGGAGAGAGTATGTACAGAAAAACAACTTGATTGTCCCACCATCTTACATCAAGCCACTCCCACGGGTGATTCGTTGCTCCATGTTGCAGCTGAACGTGGGAGAACAAGGATCGCAGAGCTGCTTGTTGATAATAATTTTTTGCTGATTGTGACAAATGTAAGAAAAGACACAGCGCTTCATGTTTCTGCAAGAGCTAAGAATATTGGAGTGATGGGAGTCATCTTGTCCAAATTTGGCGATGTTAGCAGTAAGGATAACTTTATTATGTTACCCAATGCATCTGGGAATAGAGCTCTGCACGAAGCTATTCTGAGCAAATATCGTGAGGGGTTTGATTTCCTTCTAAGTGAGCAAAGTGAGAATACTTGGCCTTTCTATTGGGACACCCACCCAGCAGACTCACCAATATATGTGGCAGTCCAAAGTGGGGATGTTGAAATTCTTCATCGTCTCTTGCAAATTCCTTTTCCCTCAGACCGGGACATTTTTAAGCGTCAGGGAAACTCTCCACTTTTTGCCGCCATATCACAACGCAATATTGGTATGTATATGTGTGGGATGCCAAAAAAATTGATCAATGTGTTGCTTTTCTGGTTGTCATGTCAATTTCTTTACATTATGTTTAAAGATTTCTCCTTTCATCTAAATAGTTTAAACTTCGGTCAGACATATTTCAAATTTTATATATTTAATTATAATTAATTTTAAAATTACTAAGATATGATATTTCTTTCTTTATTACTCCCTCAACTATTTTGTATGGGCTTGTTCTTTTTTTAAAAAAATAGCTTTGGAGGCGTCATGTCCATAATTTTTAATTTTTTTATTGTTTTTTATTCTCTTGCTTTTCTTTCATTTTTTTCCTTTTCTTTTTTTCTTGTTTTTTCTCTTTGTTTTTTTGGCCATTTTTTCTTTTTCTGTGTCCCTGGTCAAATGGCTTTAATGGCATGTCAAATGCAAGTGTGTTTGATGATTATTCACTTCACTATAATTGTTTGAATCACCGGGTTAAATTAAACATATATCAAGTTTTATATATTTTAATCTACTTTTTAATTACCAGATGTGTTACTTTTTTTAAATATGACCCATTTTTAATTATATATAAAATATGTTTTCTTTTATGTGTAGCTGCTTTGAAGGAGATAGTAGACAATAAAGAAAAGTTGATGTTCCTCACTGATGAAAATGGAGACACACCCCTCCATTATGCAGCATGCACTGGTTATGTGGAAGGCGTTCATGAACTTTTAAACAAATCCACCCATCTCGCCTTTCAACAAAATTCAGGAAGTGATCTTCCGATTCACTTTGCTTGCTATAAGGGCCACATTCAGGTGGTTGAAGAATTGCTACGTGTACAAGGGCCTTGTACAAGTTTTTCACTCAATAATAAAGGTCGAGACATTCTTCACATTGCATCTATGAGAGGAAAAAGCAAGATGGTAAAATACCTATTGAAGCACCCGAAGATCAATTCCAAAACTGTGAATGAGAAAGACCTGCTAAATGGAGACACCCCACTGCATCTGGCTTCAAGAAAGTTGTATCTTTGGACTTTAGACCATCTATCACGAGACAAAAGAATAAATGTGGACGCCGTAAATGACCAGGGTTTAACAGCTATTGATATTATCGGAAGTTCTAATATTGGCCGGTGCCTCACTCAAACATAATACTAAGCTGAGATCAAATCATGTAGTGAAAAAAGCATGGAATGAGCATGATGCGGCTAACACACTCATAATTGTGGCCGTACTGGTAGCCACAGTGACATTTGCTGCTGGTATCACAATGCCAGGTGGAGTATACAGTTCGGATGACCCAGTCTCTAAAAAAAAGAGGCATGGCAGTGTTGACTGATCAAACCCTGTTCAAAATATTTATGACTTTCAACACCACTGCCACGTATTTATCCACTTTCGGTACTATTCTTCTTCTTTGGAGGCAATTGCCTGATCGTCATGTTTCAAGACGAGCGTATATTATCTCAACATATTTTGTCCATCTGGCTCTTGGAACCATGCCAGTGGCATTTATGGCTGCCATACGTTTGGTTGTCAGAAATGATAGCTTTCTTGCAGATCTTACAAGTATCGTCGGATTCATCTTTGTTTTCCTTATATTACTCCTTGGCTTTTTAGGATATTTTCCTAAGAGATCAATTCGCTTTCCGGTTTTCCATCAAGTTGTACGACTTGGTATTTGGTTTGGTCTTTTTTTATTTTATGGGAGTAAGGATGGTAGAATTTATGCTGGTGAAATCCAACAAGACGATGACAGTGCCACGCAAGAGAAGAACCGTGTCAACTCCCCTTGATATATATTGTAGAACCCAGTCGAAAGCTTTCTCAGTAATTGGGTAATTAATGTTTTGTTCACCTCTTCAGTTTATTTTATTTTGGATACATTCCTCAATGTAAAAAAGGCATTACAAATTAAAAATGCTCTTCATTCAGAACATCATCAAGTAAATGTGAGGAGAGAGTTGGGTTCACAATCAAATATATAGTCCACTTATTGTGAACAATGGTAAACTTTTTGGTGTAATATGAGCTAAGATATAATTAGAGTTTAATTTAAGATATTAGGGTTATCTATTAGGAATATTTATTCATTAAAATAAGGATTTATTATTTATTTTCTTATTAACTTAGATATTAGTATATTTAATATTAGATTTAGATTTGGGATTTGAGATTTGAATTTAAATTATTATTTTATTATTATTTTAAAACTTTGTAAATAGAGCTAGGAGATTTTATTTTTATTCAGTTTTGAGTATTGAATAATAAAAATTCTTATTTTTCTAGCCTCCTCCCTCCTTCTCTCTCTCTCTCTCTCTCTCTCTCTACTCCTTTCTCTTCTTTGTCTTCCTCTCCCAATTTTACATCAATTGCTACCAAAGTGAAATTCTCATCACACTTTTGTTGCCAATCTCACCTAGAAACACTACAAAAAAGTAGTGAATTAGCAATGAAATTTTGCATTACTAATCAATACAAAAGAACAGAGCTCATGAAAATAAAACTAATTAGTCATTAACAAGGTGCACCATAGGCTAATGAGACTTCCGTTAGCAATTAGTGTTCTGTATAAAGTCTCTTTTAAATTATTTTCAAACACACAAGAAAATTATCACTTTCAAAATAAAATTTTCTCTTCTCAATATCAAACTCGCATGACTTGTATAAAATATCAATCCTTCTAAATATAAAAAGTTATAACTAATATCTCATAAATTATATCACAAATTTTCATTATTGTCTTTATCAAATAAAAGACTACTAGAATTTATAAAGGCATTTTCATCAATCTAAAAAAATAAATGTTGTGACTTCAAGCATTAGAGTAACTTAAGTAATAAAAGTAATCAATACCAGCAATACATTGATACATGTAAATTATTTAAAATAATATTATAAAAAAATTATTAATAAATTAATTGAGATGTTATCCATTTATTTGAGACAATTCCAACATTGGAATTAACTCCTCAACACTCTTCACAATAAAATTTATTCCTAAAACATTTCAATATAGTAATATTTGAATCTCTAAAATTTTATAAAAGTCATAATTGTTCACTCACTTAATTATTGTAGTATATTCCTCCCTTGCCCTCGAACATTAATCTTTTAACTTTCATTCCAAAGATATTCATTCCATTCCACATTTCTCTTTAATCTATGAAGTTATGATAATCCACTAACACATAATACACCTTAACTAAACAATGTCCTCAACAAACTCTTTGTTTATATTTGCACTCTTTCCACAACATCATAACTTGAAGCCATGGTACTTTATTTTAATATATTGGAATATTTAGATAAATAAAATAAGATACAGGTCCAAATAAATAATTAAATATATGTGAGCAAAGTCCTTAATCCCAAGTTGCAACATAAAATTGAATAACTTCTATACTAAAATTTAGTCAATCATTCATTACCCATACTTAGTTATTTAACTAACTAAATAAAAAAATTTCTCCTCCTACATTTCATCAAACATCATATATACATTCTAAAATCAAGTTATACAAATACAATAATTTATAAGTTGTCAACCATACAACTTTCAAGCATTAACATGTTTCTTATAAATCTCCTAAATTCAATTCACAAGATTTAATTTAGTATAAGTGAAAAACAAAATCTAGTATTTAATTTTTAGTCCTCAAATTAACAGTGGATATATATCTCATTACTCCATTCAAACTCTTCTACACATTTTAACAAACACCTTGGATGCATTAATACTCAAACTATATCATCAAGCTTCTTCCTCTTCAAATCTCTTTCTCAACAATTCCTAAATATCAATATATAAATTTACTATGCTTCCCAAACTTAATTATTTACCAATAAGCAATTTAAACCTACGAAAAAAACAAAACCTCAATTCATCTGTTTTATTATTATTATTTTTTTTTTTGTAGCTGTTAACGGAATGGCTATAAATTACCAATTCAAATAAGTCTCCATCTTCAAAACTTAGCTAAAAGAAGTCCCATTTTCCATCTATTTGACATCTAACTGCAGAAATGAAAGAAGTTGCAACTTGTCACATCCAAACACTCCATTAGACAAAGAAAGGGAAAAAATGATATGAAGGACCGAAGCCCCTTAAAATCATACGCACACAAGTATAGTAAAGAGGAAGAGAAATTCAAGCTTACACAATTAGCACCCCAACAGAGAAGTGGAAAAATGCAGCTCTATCACACTCACACCAAACAGCAGCACCGACCAAAACAGGGAAGGAAGGAGTCGCATACCAAGCGGTAACCAACTCGACACCACCGAACATATTGAAAGATGATAAAGGATTGAAACCACCAACTTGAGCTTGCGGCAGAGTCGCATACGTGCTCGCTGACATCAAAATGAAGAATGATAAAGGATTGAAGCCACCAACTCGAGCTTGTGGCAGCGTCGAACAGAATAGGGCAAGAAGAAGTTGCAGATCGGACATGGTCACATGGAGGAGGAAGAAAGATGTCCGACGCACCCCACAGCACGCGAGTATATAGGAGGAAGAGAACCGCAACTCAGAGCCCAGGCAAACTCACTGCAACGGCACAAACTGGGGAGAGGGAAAGATGATCGACGGTTCGCAGGGAAGATGAACTCGTAATTGCCTTCTAGCAATGGTAGACGAGCGTGCCACGGTCATCCATAACAAGAAGACGGACGGAGGGAAGGGAGAACGGAGGAAAGGACCAACCTTACTCCCTCTCTTGCTTGGTTCTCGAACCCTCTGAAAAAAGGAAAGGACAAGGAAATAATATCTGATGTGTTTTTGGGTTTCTAATAATATTTCCATCTGATTTTTTTATTAAATAAAGGGCATAACAGTAATTTACAAAAGCCAGAGCAAAAGGAATTCGAGCACTGGACCTCTGGATTGACACTAGCTGTACTTACCACTAAACTGCCAATCACTTTGTTAAATCTACTCCAAAACTTAATAAATATACATTAAATTATCTTACCATTAATTTTAATCAACTTGAATTTTTGGGTTATTATAGTTGCCAATATGAGTTATAGAAGATACACACATTTCAACTATCAATATGAATGTGCCAATACACCACCATATGTTTGGCAACGAGAGAATTGTGCTCACAAACATGTAATGAATATTAACAATGGAATGTCTATTAGTCAAAAGATACTTATTGGCAAGAAAACAATCAATATAATTTTGAAGAGCAACAATATGAATACACAAGCCATCAACGATATGAGCAATTTGATTGTAACAATTATGAGCATCACTATCTCCAGTGTAAGTATGCTATCATAAGTGATATAGATATGAAGATCAATACTAGTATGAGTATATTGAGCAACGATGAAATGAGCATTCTACCTAATAGCCATCAACACAATACGAAGTTGGTTGTAATAGCCTTGAAAAAATATATAAATATAATTATATTAGCATTAATAATAACATCTTTATGTATTTATTTAAAAAAATTGGAGTAGATGTAACAATGAAAAATTGTAGCCTAGTGATACGTGTGGCAGCAAATCATTTATTAGGTCCATATAATGAGTCATAAAATTTTTAAATAAAATTAAAATATGTAATAATACCTTTTAATAATATTTTTATTTGTTTTGGGGACATATTCAGCGAGAAGAAGGGTCAATCCAGTGGAGATTAGGTAGACACTCATTTAGGTGGTCATGAGTTTGAACTTTCCACAAATTAAGGGTGGAATCTTTTTTTCATTATTTTGTTTCAGTCCCAAATTTCCATTTTTGTCCTTCTACAATTAAAAAAAAGATGAATAAAGAAGAGGAGGTCAGGAATTTCAGAACACGCGCACGCACCACCGCCAAATCCTTCTTCTCCTCCTGAAATTTCGAACATTCAAGAGCCAAGAAGATCGACCTTCTCTCCCTCCATTTTTTCCGGCGTTCATCCTAGTTACCGTCGCCATCGTGGTTCTTTGTTGTTGTCGTCAGAGAGTTGTACTGGTCGGGATCTCCCTTCTGTGCATTCTTCTTCCTCATCTTGGTTCTATTTTCTCTAGTTAGTGTTGCCGTCGATCACTGCTGTGGAGGCCGTGGGTGTTCTGGGACTTCCTCCTTGTTCTTTCTCGGTCCGTATATCACCGTAGGTACTGCTCTTGCTGCATAGTTTCTTCTTCCTC